GTTCAGCTTTGATCCAGTGAGCTGTGAGAAAAGTGTCTTTAAATGCATGATATTTCTGATAATGATATCTCCTAATCTTAAACAGAGAAGTGAATTGTGCTGACTCGCTAGTGGGAAATGACTCTAACTCGTGTGATTGGCTGATTGCTGCAGTCATGTGTCATTTGATTGGCTGGGTTTGTATACTTTTAGTCAATTTTAAGCACTTTTTTTAAAGCACTTTACAAATCCGACAAATTACATAATTACAGACATACATTCTTCTTAATGAAAATGTTATAGAGTATTCTAAAAAAACAACATTTTGATGCATGTTTGCCCAGAGCTCAACACTGAGTTACTGTAATTTACTCTCTTAAATGTCATTTACTCCCATCTTGAATAGCTAATCTTTGATCTTAAATTTATATTTCATTTATATATATATTGTTCACTCTTGTCATCTCCATGCTTATATCTTTCCCCACTTTTTAGGAAAACGATGCAGATGAAAAAAATCAGCCGGCAGTTTTAATTTGAGGCATAAACATATTTATTTTAAATTAAAGATATTTATATTAGTTTATCCTTATTACCTATATAAGTTATTATGAAGGCACATACAATTTCAAGCAATTTATCTAAAATTGAAGCACTTTTCAAACCTTAAACACTAGATTAAAACTCAAGCAGTTTTTAGGATTTCCACACTTACACGTGAAACCCAGGATTGGCTGTTTTCTGCATGGCACACATGACAGGGTTAAACACAGATTTAATAGAGAATGTGTACATCAAGCTTTGTGAAACCCCTTAACTTGTTCTTAACCTGTTGGATTAGTTTGGTTTGGTCGACCCAAAGCTTACTCTGAAACCCAGAGTTTGTTTAACTGGTTTTGTGCAACAGGCCTCAGGCAACATAATTAGCCAGAAGAGTGGACACGCCAGTTAAACCATCCAAATATCTGTGGCGATTTCAGCATGAATGATGAAACATTCATGAGCAAGCGATCACAACCGGTGACGAATGCAATAAGACAGCAAAGAAGTAAACTGACCATGTAAACTCAAATGCTTTCAGGTTGATATAACTATACTGGAGCAGAGTGGGGGTGACTGCGGCTGCACAATATATAGCTTCTGCATCAATATCGCAATGCGTGCATCAGCAACAGTCACAACACAGGATCTGCAATGTCAAATCTTCATTATAATAGACCAGGAGCACGCTTAAAAACATTAAAGTTACCAAAATCTTTATCATTTAAGTTTGATTTTAAATTATTTAGACATGAGAAATTACATTTCTAATTTTAAGAAAGATTGATTGTATTTAATTATTTATTTATTTATATACACACACACACACACACACGAGGAAGACTATACACTAGGGCTGCAAAAATTTGACATTGCACTACTTTGTTTATCTGCGATATATATTGCGACATGAATACAATTTGACCAGTTGTTTTAATAGCGCTATTTTGGAAAGAAATCTGGAATCTGGACTGACTGTGGGCATTTTGTAGGGCAGTGAATCATGGATGAAAAATTATTAAAGCTACAAATACTTTTTTTTGTGCCTGAATGCTTTAAACTCTTTTGAAATGCCTTTTAAACACATGTAAATAATCAACTTTCCCTCTGTTTTGGTTAAACTTTGCAGTTACTCCACAACTCTGGTATTCTGGACTGTGGTGCACAACATTACAGATCCTGCGATGCAAGTATTGCGGACACACACATTGAGATATCAATGCTGAAAAGATATTTTATCCAGCGCTACTACAGTGCTATTTTACCTTTTATTATTAAATTTGTGTATCTGAATATTGCAAGACCTCCAGATAATCATAAAGCACTGTGCATTTTATTTGAACAGCATCAACGCTCTGCTGTATTTAGCAATGTTTATGATTGGATTATTATATTGTTTTGTAGACGCAATTGCGTACAAAATCATCTTACTGTATCTAAACTTATGAATTCTTTCCTAATAGACCTCTTCATTTAATCTGGTGGAATTATACTTCGTATCGTAATATATATCGAAGAAAGAACGTCATCGCACAGCTTGTGGTGACAATCATTACTTTTATTTGAAAAAATGTTTGTTTACATTGTAAAAATATCTGGTTTGCCTTATGCAAAAGTAAAACATGGCTGTTCTTTCCTTTATAGTATATAGTAGTCTATATAGTATACACTGTACAACCCAACAGTCAACTTTATCAAACGAAATGAGTGTAGTTAACTCAAAATTGACTGAAAGTTAATTCTACTCATCTGAAGAGTTTTGAACTCAGTGTTGAAGGTAATGACTTAATTAAACACTTAATTCAACTTAAATGGAGTAAGTTCACAGTACTCATAGAGATTAGTTTTTCAACTCAAATC